ATTTTTTTTTTAACAGGATCCTTTGTGGTTTTTACAATCTGCGGCAAGACATCAATCATCCGGGTTCTGAAGTTACCAGAGAGAATGCAGAGCTTCTTGGTACGGTTGTTCATATTTATTCAGATCAACTTTGCAGCACTTTGTAATGCTCAATGCTGATCCCTGCAATCTGGATCTTTGGTCCTTCAAATTTGTAATCTTATTTTGATTTGTTGCCTTAAAATTGGCGAACGGAACCTGCACAGATTCATGTTTGTTATTGCAATAAAGGGAATTGTATTCTTATCTTACGGATTGCTTGTCATTATTGAAGAAGCGTCCTTCATCTCTTCTTCATCGATTATATTTCTCAAGATTTAAGAATGTGTCTGAGATTGGATTTTATTTTGATACAGAAATATTCTTCACTCTTGTTTTCTTATTTTAAAGGCAATAGCCAATGTTTATATAACAATAGAATTATATTTTTCCCAAAATATTATCAATCTTAACATGTTAAAGAAGGAAGAAATTTACTAGAAACTAGTTTATGTACAACTCAACACCTAATTTTTTCGGCAGAAAGGGAACTGTAGTTCTTGCTAGAAAAACAAAACATCTGCATGATTGAATGAAAGGCTTTTACTATAACATCCAAGATTAATACTTACTCTCTTTTCCCTAAATTCTCCATTAGAACCTATAAATGTTTTGAAAATTTTACTTGGTTCAGCTATTCTGTAGCTTTGGCAATGTGGTGTACACTTAGTGGTATAATATTTCATTTCTACTCTTGTAATGACTTTATCTGTCATGAAGTTACTTAATAATTAAATATAACATTTTAGTTCAACACAATTACAATGGATCCTATGAAATTTCAAAAGCTTCCTTTCTAATCATATCTATTAAGTTCATTTCCACATAACCTAATGCCACATGGCAAAATTGTTAATGCATAATATGCTCTATGCACATAAAAGCAACTTTTCAATCAGTTTCAAGACACTCAAGTAAACATAGCCAATCAAACTCAAGATGTTTCGGGGGATATCTGAAGGGAACAAGAAAAGCTTCAGAAAATCTCTTCCAGCAATCTTGTGCTGACTTCAGAAACTAAGCCAATGCATAGCAAAAAATATATTTATAACATCTAGAGATTGCCAAGTATGCTCCAAAATTAAATTTGAGATGGTGAAAGATAGAAAATCAAGGAAAAAAAAAATTTCTTGAAATAGCAACCAGAAGACAGACAGATGTCCTCAAGCCAATAAACAATTCCTGCCCACCAGCCAATTCAAATGTGCTATATCAATATATGTAAACTGAACCACCAAAATTATGAAAAAACTTACAGCTCTTTCTGTTGTCCCAGGAGGACCATCAAGTATCTTAATGCGAGCTCTTGTCTCCTCAACTATTTTTTTAATGAACTCCCCTTTGCGACCAATTATACTACCAACTTTCTGTGCAGGAACCAACATCCGGAATACACTCTCTCCAGGCCATCCTGGCCATTTCTTTTCACCGCCTCCAACTGCAGAATCCCCTTCATGTTCTAGCTTTTGTTGAGCCTGTGAGTCTTCAGGTACTTGCTCCTCAGCTACTTCATCAATAGGAATTTGATATTCAGGTGCTTCATCATTAGGTACTTGATATTCAGGTACTTCATACTCAGGTACTTGTTCCTCAGGGACTGGATTTTCAGGTATTGGATCTCCTTCATGATTCCCGTCATGTTCAACAAAGCTTTGATCCACTTCAGCCATAATTTTCCCACTGGAGCAAAAGTCAAACCAACACAAATTACTTCAAGACTAAATAGTATACTAATAATGATACATTCAAACCTCAACCTAATTACTTTGTCTATCGGAAAGGCAACTATAAACAACAGCAAACAGTTTATAAAGAAAATCTAAGTTAAGAAACCTCACCCAACACAGAACACGTGAGAGGTTAACCAAAAAAGACAGCTTTAAAAAATAAAACTAAAAGCACAGAAAGGTCAATGATGAGAGAAATGGAAGTGCCATACTCCCTCAATGCTTGATTTGGGAAACAACTAGTAAACGGATAGCAAATACATCATCAAAGACTAGAAGAAATTGGCGATAAATGGACAGCACCTTTAAAAGTCCACCAAAAGGCATGTAACAATGGAATGTAAAGCCTAACCTTTTACTTGGCATGCTCTCACACTACATTTTATTTAGGAATAGGGTAATATAGGAAAGTCATGAAAAATAATCTAATTCATTACAGCCATATATTGTGGTCAAAGCAAAAACACAAAGGCACTCACAAGATGGCAGGTGCACACAGAGTAAGACACTTTCTACACTTGTAAAATTATTCACCTAGTTCTATCAAAGTATATCTCCCTTGTTTCATCTACTCATAAACCTCTAAAATTCTACTAACTTATAGAACTACACTTTGAAAAGCATAAACAACAAACCAAAATCGAATTACATATCATCAATAGATTATTATTACAACTAATAAACAAAACCAATGACAGAAAATAAAATAACAAAACAAAGTATTAAAAAAAAATTATAGTCATATATTCAAGAACCACCAAAAGAAAAACATAAAATCAAAAAAATAAAAATAAAAAATAAAAAAACCATTAATTTGTCAACATTAAAAACAAAATCCCAAAGCCAAAACACAGAAAAAGCTCGAAAAAATTACTCCCCTCACAGAGGAACCAGCATACAAGTATGTAAACCCTAAAACTACTCATACATTCTCATTAACAAAAAATAAACATAAATATTCTTCAAGTGACAAAACCCCATGAATGGGTCAATTCTCAAATCACTCAAAAGGACAAACACAATAAAACCCCATAAAGAACAAAATAATAACAGAAACAACATGAACTAAACCCTAAAATTTTTAAAATAAATACTCACACGTGATACGGGAAGAGCTAATAAGAGGTTTCTGGAGGTGAATTTCGCTGTGAAAAGACGAAGTTCTTGCGAACCTTTTTTGGGTTTTTAGGTTTTGTGCGAGAAGAGGAGTCGAGAATAGAGAGATTTGGATTTTGTGAAGTGAAATTATTATTCTCTGATTTGACTTGTTTAATAGTCCTTTGAAACTATCTAATTAAACGTTGACCCCTAAGTTTGAGTTAACTGACAAAGTACCCCTTTATTTCGTTTCCTTTTGGGAAGAAGTTTTTAAAATGTTTGGTGGTGAGTGGCTCGTGCTTGGATGAGTTTAGTGAGTGAGTGTGAATCCAAGTAAGATGGGTCCCGACTTGAGTTTAGGGTTTTGACTGTGGGCTGGACTAGGGTTTTGATGGGCTTTAGAAAACTTGACTGTGGGCTGGTTAGGGCTTTGATGGGCTTCAGAAAACTTGACTGTGGGCTGGGTTAGGGCTTTGATGGGCTTAGGATTCTTGAATTGGGCCGTATTAGAGTTTTCTGGGCTTTAGAGCCTTAGGCTTTTTATTTTTTATTTTTCATTAACATTTGTATATAATTTTTTGAAGTACAATGGTTATTCGTTTTTTAATCGAGTAAGACGTTTTAGGTTTACTTGTTTTTTAGCTTATGTTTATATATTAAATATAAGTACTGTATTTAGCTTTTATCTGAATACAAAAACATCTTAATCAATAAAAGTTTTCTTTTGTCAACAATACGTCTATTAATACTATATAATTCAAATTTTGACAAAACCCTTATGCTATGTATTTTTAGTATAATTTTTAATAAATTTTTAAACATTACATCAAACAATATGATAACATAGTTATCTTTGATTAATATACATTTTTTTTAAATTTTCATAAATTTGATAATTTAAATTTGTTTAAAACATGGAAAATGTAAAACTATATTTTACTTAAAATCAGACATTAAAAAATAAAAATAAAAACAAACATATCAATCAGTTTTGTATATTCAGATAACATATGCATTCAACTTTCAGACAAAAGAATAAACACCACCTAAGTAAATAGATGTGGTTTTATTTTAAACCATGATTGAGAAAATTCAATATTTAAAAAATGTTCTTTAGATAATGAAAAGAATTTTCATATTTTGTATGACAAAATTTTGCAACTACTTTCATTTTTCTCACAACTCCGACATAACAGCTTGCAATTGGTTAGCTGTAATTTATCAGGTGAGACCCATTGCAAGCTACTACATCAGGGTTGTAAGAAAAAGTTTAGGAGAAATGTTGTAAATTTAGCATTTTCTTTATTGGTAGCAAAACTTCACTATAGTTCTGTCATATACTTTCCAATTTGAAAAACTAAAAACAAAGATGATCAATAAACAACGGTACAGCCTAATAGAATTGCCATACCTAAAGAAATTCCGGAAAGCCACATCTTTCATGAAGCTTTAGTAATTCTATGGGGGCTCAGAAAATGCTCGGGGAGATCAGCAATGAAGATGATTTTGTAATTGTGAAGGTGATTTTGAAAAAGACTTAAAGCAAACAATACTCTGTTGAAACTTAATGGTCATTATACTGCTTTCTTTACACTTAATGTCCATAACCACAAAATTGTGGGCAAGAGCAACACTTAGTTTCACAACCCACCCAGATTCTCCTTCTACAATCCCCTGGTTTTGTTTGGACTTTATATCTTCATTCGAAAAATGGAAGAAAAGCCCCTTTGCTAGAAGTTAGAAAGAACCCGCTATGAAAAAAGGAAGAGGGCTAGAGTTTACACATTGATTTTTTTGGCATGTTGAACCGTATGCATCAAAATTCAAAAGATGCCTGTTCGGCTCCTAAAGGATACAATTTTATAAAGTAGAATGACAGGTGAGTTTAAGCTCAGTGATGATATTCAAAACAACAAACTTTTTCAAGGCTAAGAAAAGAGTCAGAATATTAACCATAAAATCAAGAAACTAATCACAATGTTTTCATCAACATAAGAAACCTGTTAATTATCTAGAAATTAGGTAAAGAACGTAAACAAAAGCAAAGCTACAAGTAGTGCTTTACTCATGTACATCATTCTCCTAAAAAAACACCAGAGTACCTTGCTAAAAGAACAACCTCTCACAAATCAAACAGGCTAACCACTAAAACGTATTTCTAGCTAGTTAGCCATTCAATCGTCTTAAAGTTCAAAGATAACCAATATGATAAGGGGAATCACAACCCTGTTAAAAATAAAAGCAGAGAGAAGCACAGAAATTGCCACTGCCCCATTGTGCCATGACATATTAAAGTACTCTCTTTACTCCATCAGATACTCCATAAAGCAGAATTTTAAAGACACGTTACCTATTGACCTCCTATTTATCTACTTTTTCAGACCATAAGAAAGAATGTGGGTAGAACTACAACAAGTGGACATCAGCATTTCTCTAATTTTTCATGTCATTCCTTGTCTTTGGCAGCCACTTCTGGAGCTGGAGCTGGAGCCGGAGCCCGGGCTGCAGCTGGAGTAGCAGTGTTCATCACCGAATCAAACTTTTCAGATTTCTCCAACACAATTTCAATCTAGAAGTCAAGGGAAACAAAAATGAATTACAAAAGGACTTCTTTAGCACAATTTTCTAGCAGACTGCATACAGTAGCACCTAGTAAAGAAATCAAACTCACCTTGGCCTTCTGAATGAATCGCCCTTTGTTCTCATCTTTCATGGCCACAGTAGATGTCAAGACTTCTGTTTCATAATAAAACAAATTTATCAAATCAGCAATCATGCATAAATTCAAGACAATACATAGACTTAAGAGGGGAATTCTTACTCTTCTCAGTGGCCAGTCCATTGTTCTTAAGAATCTCAGCAATAGTGACAACTGTAGTAATTGCTGAAAAGGAAACATAAGATAGATTTTTAGAAAAATGATGACACAATAAACAGCTCTCCGACAGACAAAATGTATGTGCAGAAACTACTATATGGAATTCAAAGCACTGAGAGACAGGTCAAAAACACCCAGAAGACAACTAAATAGCAGGCAAAGTGAAAAGTGCCTTTCAATAACCATCTAATCTGTTTTTCAGCCAGAAAGAGGGATAATAAATAAGATACGTAAAGGGCAAAATGGTGATGCAAGGCTCAAGGTTCATCAGAAGGCAAATCAGTTGAATAGAATAGTATGCAAAAAATATTATCAACTTTACGGTTTCCAAGTGGAAAGTCGCTAAGTGACATCAACCTTGTCAGGAGATCAAATTGAAAACCATATATATAACCATCTGAAGTTTCAACTCATAATTAACTATCACATTAATTTTGTCCTATTATAAATAAGCTTAGATAATTTTCTTATATCTTTCCTTCTTTGTTCCAGTGAAAACTCTACCTTCTGTTCTTTATAATGCAACATTGAGGTAGCAGTATAGCAATAATACCAAATGCCTCCTAATTTTCCAAATGCATGCCTAATCAGTGACTCATGACACAATACCAACAAGAAGGTAAATTTAAAGCCATTTCAGGTGAATTACTTAAGTTATGGTCTCGCTGAAGACTGGTTCATATGAAGGGAACAGTTAGACTTAATCAATTCTTAGCATCTCAACTAATCGGAGATACATCAGTGAAGCTCTACAGGATATAATTTAATCATTCTGCAGAAAATTAATGACCTACCAATCTTAGCATCTTCAGACAATTGCAAGAAAAGACAAATTATGAACCTTTAAGTCTCCCATTTTTGGTTCAAATTTCCAATAAACTATATTGTTAAAACTTGTTATACTTTTATCAAACATGTAGTTAATCAAAGTTCAGTAGTGAATTTTCGTGTTATGCACTCAATAACTTCAACTTACTGAACCTAAGTCTACTCAGTAACATATTCCTGATTTACTTTAGATTCTTTTTTCTTACTTCTTCGCTACTTTCTCATTAATTAGACAGAAGATTACATGAATTTATGATTTAACAATGATATAAGAGATTTCAAAGAAACATACCCATGCCTAAAGCAGAAAGTTCAACCTCATTATGCTGTTGAATGTACCTCTGCATCAAAGGGGAAAAAACAAGTTAAACACATGAACCACAAATTAATAGATACAATATGTTGTTCAAAGATGCATAATTAACTAAAATTGAAAATTAAAACAATCAGATCTTGTCTAGATATTATGTTGCAAATTCTAGGTTAGTGTTTTTCAAAAGTATTTTCACTTGGGATTAGCATCAAAGCTCATGTACTAAAGCAAACAGTAAAAACAAGTTTCTAGACACTAATTAAATTGACTTTGAATCTTTTGAATCATGGCATTCAGAGACAGCAATAACATTTTCTTCTAAACAACATTCATAAGACCACTCATAGAAACAGATCAAATAAAATATCAAATGATATTTTGTTTCCTCAATTATAAAGCATGCGAATTTCTTTTGTTGCTAGCTTTCTACAATTCTAAAATAGCTATAATAACAAATCAACAGCAGTAATTCCATAAGCTAAAAACCAGAACAATACTTAAACTCCCCAAATTTTCTTCCAAACCAAACAGAACTATAACTATAACCACAAAATCATTAACCAATTTCCAAGAACGCAGCAGCAAGAAAAAGATGAAAATTACTTGCGCAATTAAAACGTTAAAAATATAAAAACCAACATCACAAAATTCAAGAAACATGAACTGTGCCTTTAAAAGAATCAAATATAAACTAGATCACAATTCTTAAACAATTGCAAGATCAAATGACACAAGATAACACACAAAATAAGTAACATAAACCAAAAAAGAGAAGTGATTACACATTTAACAAGAACCCAGATGTGAAAAGGCATACCTTGGCAAGATTAACATAAAAGAAGAGTGGTTTCTTGGTGTTAGAAACTTGGATTCTGTTCTTCTTCTGATTCTCCATAGTTTGAGTTGGAGTTGTTGTTGATATTGGTGGTGCTACTGCTGGTTGCACTGCCACTGCTCTCTCTCCTGCCATTTTCTTGGTTTATTTTTGGGTTTCTTGGTGTTCTTTGTAAACTCTCTATCACTTTCCTTCACTTTCTGTGGCGGGAAAATGGGAGTTTCATTAAAGGTGTTGGCCACTACGAAATTTAGAGAAAACCGTTATGAAGTGGTTGGTGGTCTTGTAAAGAGCGGGAGTTCGGTTGGTGGGACCTATGGATGCTCTCCACGTGGTTGGTTTTGGTTGGTGGCAGAAGTGGTAAGAGCTAAAGACGGGTTCAATTGTTTGGTTTAGTTCAATGACTGTTACACCCCTTTGGTAATTAGATCACTAACAATAAAATTAGCCTTAAATTTATAAAAATTTTGTTATGATATAATTATTAATTAGTGTAAAGTAGTTTGAAAGTGCTTTTATAAAAAGCAGTTTTGTTCAACAATGTTTATATTCTAAAAAAAACATATTAAATAAATTTTAAGAGTGCATGTGACAATGTCTTTTGTTTATTTGGGCACTATTTAGAGTTAGAAAGTTGTAAATTGTAAGAAAGGTGACAACAGATTTGCCAAATCCCAATTATTAATGCGACACAAGCTAGGAAAAATATTGACATTAAATTTTATGTCTCATTGATTTATACTGATAATCTTTATATGTGACTCACATAAACTAATATAAGAATTTGAAGACTCCGATTATGAAAGCATTAAGAAAAAGTTGTATAACCACCAATAGATAATCTAATAGTTAAAAAGCAAAAAAAAAAAAAGTTTCATGAGCTTCTTAGTTCAAGTCCCTCTAGGTATAGTGATTATTAGGGTTCTTACCCGATTGACAGTTTCAAAGTTTTGAAAGATTAATTGAAATATATACAGACTAACAGTTTCAAGACTTCGAGGAATTAGTTGAGGTTGGAAAGTATTATAAATTTTACCATAGCATGAGGAAAGAAAAGGAGGAAGATAATAACTCTTAATAATAGAATTTGGAAACAATCAAGAGAACTAGTTAAAAGAAAAAAATATATATTTTATTTCAATTATCAGTAATTTCTTCTTCAACTCTTCTTGAATGAACAATGTCTCTTATAATATACAATTATATTATAATACAGAAAAAATAAAAAGAAGAAGATAATCACATATAAAATTTGGTACGTAATGTTATCAAAGGGTAACATTAATTCTTATAGACACTCTTTTAATTCATTGCCGTGATTTGGTACTTCTACTTCTCTTCAATATCGATGTGCAATCCATTTGGAAATATGAGACTCGGCCTTCGAATGAAGTCCCCTCCTTTGGTCACTGACCACCTGGTGATATCAATCCATGAAGTTTTAAGCCTCCTTTTTTTTTTTTTTTTTTTTTTAATCTAAATAATTGAAAATATTTTTCAAACTTATGTTATTAATTACCTGTATTTACTGACGAAATGATGGAGAAAAATTGCAATTTGGAGCTTTGCAAAATCAGCTCCAACGCAAAGTCTTGAACCACTGCCCCAGGCCATGAAAGTCTTTGATCCAGAGTGTAAATCTTGTCCCTATTCAGTCCATGAAAATACATTTTCAGTGCTTTCTAAGAAAGGATTTTATAACATACTAAAAGTTTAGAATCAGCTAGAATCAAATTTACCTCCCAACGCCATGGATTGAAGTCAAGAGGATTCTCATATTTCTCAGGATTCAAGTGAACAACGGCCGGCGCCACCATAACTATCCACCCTTTTGGAATTGTATATCCTGCAACATTTATATATAATACAGTTTCTCTTAGTAACGTTCATCATGTGCCTTCAACATGTAAATACCAAAGGTTAATTAGCGCTGTGATTTAGAACCTGCCTCTAATCTCTGCATCTTTCCCTACTTTCCTGAAAATCACAGGTGCTATATTTGCCAATCTAACTGTTTCATTGATTACCTGCAACACAGAAAAAAAAACAAAAAACAAAAAATAGAAGTTATTAAAACATTTTCAGTTTAAATGCTTTCAGAAAAGTATTTTATATACGACCGGAAGCAGCCACAGTATTTTCTTATCAGTCCAACTATAACTCACCATATGTGTAAACGTCATTGATTTATATTCTTCCCAAGTAAGTCCAGAATTCTCATCCGCTCGGCCTTTAAGGATTGCCTCCTGCTCTTTCTGCACACAAATTAACAGTTATTAATTATTTTTTATTTTAATTTTGTTTTTGTATTTGTTTGTCGAAAGTATATGTATATTAGATTTACGAACCGTTAATTCTTCTAGCACTTGAGGATGGTCAGAAATAAACTTGGTAAGCAATGTAATGGCTTCAGAAGTACTTTCGAAAGCACCAAAGAGAAGCAGAAACAGCATGTTTATAGCAACACCATCATCCAAAAATGCATTGTCTTTCTCTACTTCTTCAATTACACGATCCAAAAAATCATTTTGAGGAATTTTCGTTGCTTTCCTCTCATGATAGATATCTGTAATCACCTTAATTGCGTTTTTACTTCCCTGCAGGCGTAAAAGAACTTTATATATAAGATCATGAAATTAATGAAAATAAACCCGGTTTCTTTATAAAGTGTTTTTTTCAAAAGTGGAAATAATACTGGGTTACAAGGTATACCTGTACACATGCATGGAAAGCGGTTCCTGGAATGTTGACAGGAAGAGAGATGAGACCATTCATGAAGGCTTTGTAATTATCTAATAGTTTCTTTCCATCCTTCTTTTCCTCATAACTTATCAGCCTCTTTGCAAATGATTCAAATATCATCTGCCAATAGCCAATTAGGAGTAATGTATTAGACTCATTAACATTAATAATTATATAATTGAATCATACACATAAGAATTATTAAGCTTACTTCTGCAACTCCTTCTTTGACATTGACATTGCCTTGGTTAGCCCATGAACGTATATGTCTACTTGTTGCTTCATCCATTTGATGGAGAAGCTTTCCCCTCAGGCTTTCAGGGCCAACAAGATGTAGAATCAAGTTCTTCATGTATCTATGAAAGGTTCCATGCTGTGTGAGCATGTTTTCTTCTCCTAGAAATTCACTGAAACTGTCAGTCAACCAAATTGAGAAATTTGCGCTCTCTCTTTGGAGGATAGTATAGTTTATCTCCGGATCCGTCGATACAATCATCTTCTGACCAAACAGACTTGTCCGGAAAAGTGGTCCATGTCTGAAAGGAAAAACAAAAATGACTACATATTAAGATAAAATTCTTTCGTTAATTAAATCATTAACATACTTTTTGGCCAATGATAGTATGATATTACCTTGCCATTCTCCTTTTGAGAAATGGAGCAACATCATGAACTTTATAGGGAGATAAGAATTGGAGGGTTTCTCCAATAATTGGCAAACCCATTGAACCAGGAGGTAGTTTGCCATCGCACTCGGGGTTCGACCAAGTATAGAACCACTTCACAATCCTAATAACAAGAAAAGCTACCACGCAAAGCCCTATTTCACTCCACATTTTTCCTCACTCTTGTTCGAGTTCAATAAGTACTGATGAGAAGTGGTTTAATTCTCTAGCTACTTATTGATAAAACGGCAAACAACAAAGTGCTTATATAGGTAGCTAAATGCAGATCATAACCATTTAATAAATATTTTTTTATTGATCAGAAATCAGTTGGAAACATTCCTTGTTTAAATTTGGCATCATTCATTATTTTCTAATACTATTGGTCAACAGTCATAGATGAAGACCAAGAGAACGTAAACGAGAATGGGGCCAATATAGATGAATACAAATCCCGGAGAAAGTTTGGTACGTGAATATTTATGAGTCAATCTTGGAGAGTAGTGCCGCTGCTGCCTTCAGTTCCTTGATCAACTTGCCGCTTGAAACAACTGTAGCTGCTTATAATTTAAGGCCGCCCTTAAATTTAAACGCACCTTGATTTAAACAGCGGGGTTTTATGATAATTTTATTAAATATTTGAGTATATATAGTAATTGAAAAAGAAAATTTAACATACAATCTAATTAAAATAATTGATAAACAAAATATATATTATAATAATCTTAAGTAAATTTTCTTAATTAATTACCAAAACACTCCTGCTATGTACTGGAAGCATACACTATTGATTAATATATAACTTTTTAAAACTAAAATTACCATGTATAAGGTTGGGTTAATGGTTATCTATAGAGTAAACGACTTTTTCTCACCCAGGGTTAATGGTTATCTATAGAGTAAACGACTTTTTCTCACCCAAGGTTTGCATTAATTATACTTTCCCATCCAAAAAGTTTCAAAATACCACTATTCTACCCAAAGTTAATATTTTGTTACTACTTAAAGTCGATCTCGGCTGATTTTGGTGGCTAAAATTCTCTCTGTCACCACTGTTTGAACCTCCGATCTCCTCTCGACAAAATTCCTCTCACTTCAACATCCGATTTTTCATTGATTATTGGTCATCGCAAAGCTAAGGTTTCCTGCTCTTAACTAATTTCCTACTGATTCAGGCAATGAATATTCAATCGGTCTTCACCAGCCTCCACTCTACAAAACCCCTCTTACCTTGGCTCTTGGTAATCCGCCAAACGTCGGCTGAGAAAGTGAAATGTATTTTGAGTATTAACGAAATATAAACTTTGAGTGGAAAAGTGGTATTTTAAAACTTTTTAGGTGGGAAAGTGTCATTAAGGCAAACCTCGGGTGGGAAAAAGTCGTTTACTCTTATCTTATATTAGAGACCAGCCCGGCTGAATTTTGTTAATTAAGCAATATTGCTCCAGGTTGCAGCTGGCGAGGTACTTGAAGCAGCCGTCCAACTTGTCCTATTCAATCTTTTACAGAAACTTTAGACTCATAATATCTTTGGAAATAAAAGAATTAATTCAAAGATTCGTTAGGAATAATTTTGTTTTGTGTTACAAGATGGCAAGCCAGTGAGATTGTTTTGAAACAATGTCCCTGGAAATCTTATAATTGTTGTCCATTTATGGTGCACTTCTCACTGTCTAACACCTTTGGAAAACCAGCTTTTTATGCTCATATATAAAACAAGAAAATTCTGCGACATGTAGCACCTCTGCATAGGAGAAATATTTTAGGGTTGCGTTAATTATTGCATTTGGTGCTTTTGTTTTTAAAAAATAAATTTAAAAATAGAAGTAAAAAGTTTTGATTTCATATTCTGAAATATTGCATTTGGTGCTTTTGTATGAGATAAGTTAAATAAACTAATTTAATATCAAGTTCCATATAGCATCTCCTCGGTTGCATAGGTTTTTATATATAATTAATCTTAATTTGCATGAAGACTGAAAAAAATTCACTAGAAACTATCTCTGGGTGATCGAGTGATTCATTAGGGACTCTTGAGTATATAACTCAAGAGGTATTATGTACAAGCCCCTCTTAGGTTGTTAATAGGGGTAACCATTGAAGTTCTTACCCGATAGATAGTTCTAGAGTCCCAAGAGATTAAATAAGGTGTGTGTAAACTGACTCAGACACTCTCGGTCATTTAAAAAAAAAAAAAAATTCATTGGATATCCAAAGGATAATGTTAATATTATATTAATTGTTGATAATGCCATTTATGGACACTAATTAATATTAATTTTGAGGACCATGATATAAGTTATTTTAAAAATCTCGTAGCAAACTATGTGTAATCTTTTTTAGTGTTGAAATTAATATAAATAAAATGGTGATTTGGTGAATAATATGACAATGTCAATTATAAGATAATAGATGATTTGATATATGAATTGTGAAATATATTTTAAGATGTGTAGTATTATTTATGTACATATAATTTACTTTATTGTTAATCGAAATTATAAATAAGTTAATGACAAAAGAAAGGGAGAAAATTGGACTCTTACATAAGCGAATGTATGTAGAAGACGACTGAAAAGCATAATTGTGAAAGTAAATTAAAACTCAATATTTAAGAAATTGATGACAGCACTCGACATAACCAAGGCTTGTGTTGTTCCATGTTGTTTATAATAATTTCATCTTAACTTGTAAATCTTGTTCTTGGAAAGTAATTGTTATTTTGAATAATGATTCCAATTGACCAACACCTAACTGTGTAAGATTATTTTAGAGTGACTAAATCTAATGTCCCTCATCAATGTAGTTAATTCACAGCCAGCTGCACTTGATTAAGCGCCCATGGTTTCAATTTTTAAAACAGGCACTTCATTCTTTGCCGTAATAACATTAGTTTATGAGCAAACAACATGTTCTCACCAAAGGTTTAGCGAAATGGCAAGTTTTCACCCTTGGTTTCATATATTTCAGATTTTCATCCTTAAATTAACACAGTTACTAATTGTTGGGTTTTGAGAAAGATGCTGAGGGTGTTGTTTCTCTCTCTTAGAGTTTTTCCAATTTATAAAGTAGGGGGTGACAATTGCACTTTTTATAAAACAATATCTTCAAAAAATTTATAACTAATCAATATATTACCGCTGTTAACCCAAACTGTATTAAATTTTTGTTAAATAGTAATGATTCAATTCACTTTGAACGATTTCTAGCTACAAAAAAGAAAATAAGCTGAGCTAAGGAGAAGAAGAATCAGTGAAGAGAGTGTGTGGAGGAATCTGGATTTTCATTAACTAAAAAAATTAGTTAGTACATCACATTTATATAGTTTTGAATAAACCAAGACACTGCTGTTTTAATACTCCAGCTTAGTGCTTTTACAAAACTAACCCTATACTAGTGCATTCTTTATCTCAATATCTTCCCATAAACTGGACTACCTTCTTCTTCTGTATCTCAATATCTTCCTATAAACTGGACTTCCTTCTTCTTCTTTATCTCAATATCTTCCCTCAACTGCTGTAGTTTTGTTACATCAGTTGCTGCATTGTACCTTACCTACTGCATTTCAACTACAGTTGTTGAATTGTAGCAATCATGCCCTCTTACGTTATTTCCACCATTCTAACGGCATTCTAGTAGCACTATTACAACGCATTGTACCTTACCTACTACATTTCAACTATAGCTGTTGCATTGTAGCAATCATGCCCTGTTACGTTATTTCCACCATTCTAGCAACATTCCAACAACATTCCAACAACTATATTACAATGCAAGTCAGGTGATTTTAGCAGATATGTTCATTCAGTTAATTCGAACACAACATTCAGCTTTTCCCATAGTAAGCTGAATCTATGACCAAAGAGTGATTTGGTCAAAATGTCAACTTTATGATATTCTCAAGATACATACTGAATAGCTAGACTCTTTCCTGCAACAAGCTCTCTCACATAGTGGACACCTATCTCTATATGTTTAGTTCGAGCATGGAATACAGGGTTAGAGGATAGTGCCTCTGCACTCATATTGTCACACCAAACTATGGAAGTATGCTTAATTTCAATCCCCAACTCTTTAAACAAGTGGTGAACCGAAACTACTTCAGTGGCTACCTGACTTAATGCCGTATATTCAGCTTCAGTGGAGGATAGAGAGACAACTTTCTGCTTCTTGCAACTCCATTGAACCAAATTTTCACCAAGAAATATAGCATATCCACTTGTAGATCTTCTATCATTTATATCACTTGCCCAATCTGCGTTAGCATATGCTTCAAGGCAAAAGTGTGAGTTTTGTTTAAAAATCAATCCATGATAAAGTGTTCCTTTCACATATCGCAGTGCCTTTTTGCATGTTGTCCAATGAGTTAAGGTTGGACTTTGCATAAATTGACTTGGCGTGTTGATTGTGAAGGGGTCAAGTCTGGATATGGTTAAATACTACAACCCTCTTATAATGCTTCTATATAAAGTAGGCTGCTCAAATAACTCCTCATCATCCTTACTAAGTTTCGTACCAACTACCATGGGGGTAAGACAAGGATTACAATCCTTTATTCTAGCTTTTTCAAGAAGTTCTTGAGCGTATTTGGTTTGGGTTAGAAGAAGACCAGAACCATTCCTCTTTACTTCAAAACCGAGGAAGTAATGCATAAGATCCATGATCTTCAGAGCAAACTGGCTGTTAAGGTCTTGAACTACCTTTGTAATGAGTTCATTGTCATTCCCTGTAACCAAAATATCATCTACATACACCAACAAATACATTACTGTATATGCATTTTTATAATAGAACAAACTAGTATTCAAAGTGCTATTGTAAAAACCCCAAGTCAAAAGTGCATTTTTCAGTTTATGAAACTAGGCCCTAAAGGCCTGTTTGAGACCATATAATGCCTTCTTGACTTTGCAAAGCTATTGAGGCTGATTGAGAGAAGAAAAACCTTTTGGTGGTATCATGAATACTTGCTCTGTGAGCTCCCCATTGAGAAACGCATTTTTCACATCGAGTTGATGAATTTCCCAATTGCTATGAACTGCAAGAAAGAACATTATGCGTATAGTAGCTGCCTTTACCATCGGAGAGAAGGTATCAAAATAATCTAGACCAAGGGTCTATTGAAACCCCTTAGCCACCAATCGGACTTTATATTTTTGTAATTGATCCATCTAAATTTGGTTTTGTTTTAAAC